TGACGATACTGCTGACTGATAATGATATAGCTGATTTAAACATGAAATTATTGGAATGAAAAAGTATACGGAAAGTTTGCTCGACGCCAATATAGTGAAACGAAACCGAAAGACATCTCAAGAGATCACGTTCTCCATTCAGTCATATCTCTCTAACGGCAAATCAGTTAAACTTCTCATGACTCTGGGCATAAATCAGGTTGAATTTGATCGATGTCATGGGTTATATTAGCTTTGAGGACCGCTGTGGTTTGCGACTTATTCGCATACACCTAAGACTTGAGAAAAACCCTTGAGAAAAAGTCTAACGGGGTCAAATCGCACGATCTCGGTGGCCAGAATATCCAGTGTGGCATGAGCTGTATGGCACGTAGTGCCGTCCTATTGAAACCACATGACGTTGGTGTCCAGATCGTCCAATAAAGGGGTCAAAATAATTTGGTATCATCCTATAGTGGTCGCCATTGACAGTACTGGCCTGGCCAACATCGTTCTCAATGAAATATGGACAGATGACGCCTCCAGCCCAAAATCCATACCAAACAGTGACTTTTTTGGGATACATTGTACGCTCTAGGATCTTATGTGGAATGGGTCTCATCGCTGAAGATAATTTTTCGATGAAAATTAGGGTCAGTTGCCAACTATTCCAGAGCCCATTCAGAGAACATGGTAATGAACCTTCAGTTAGATAGATTTGAGGTTTTCTGGTAGTAAATTGTATAATCTTGGTGCAAGGTATTCTGCTAAGCGTTGACCGGCTGTTTTATCGCAGGTCGGAACTTTCATGTTTTTATTTTTTGTTCGAGTTTCATAACGGTGGTCGATGGGTGTTAACTTGGTTTCATTTTTTTCATTTTTTCTGAAAATAGCTTGTCACTGGAATATCTTATATTCTTCTTTGAATTTATTCTCAGGATCCATTTTTGTGTGGTACTCAAATTATGTACGTTATTTTCTGCTACACCTCCTAAGCCTAAGATTCCGTAAGATACTTGATACTCGGTCATTAAAACCTCGTTCTTGAAATTATTCGTTATGAACAACACGTGTAAAATGCTATTCATGTAGCAAGTGTTTCCTAAATTATCCAATTCAATTTTCTTCCCTAGATTTTCAGGACAACTCTCTACTGATTCGTAAGGAAGAACACGTTTCGCAGAATCTCCATAAGAACCATTTCTCGAGCTGCGATCGATCTTTCCAAGTGAAGAAGTGTTTCGTAGAGGGATCGATTCGGCTCTTGCTTCATGAAGCTCTTCCACTGAAAGGGAACCAGAACTACGAGGACTGCAACTCATATTTGGGTGGCAAGAATGACCTGAGTCCAGTGACCGCACTAAAAAAAAAAGAAGTTGGTTCAATCACTTGTGAATTAACCTTGATAGGAGACTGATGAATATCCACATATCTTGGCTTGTTTCGAAGAGATTTCAGTTCCGTACTGAAGTTAGGGCAATTCTCATCAAAATTATGTGAAGGAGGAATAGTTCCAAGGACCAAAGCAGCATTGCCACGTTGAATAGCAATACTGATCCTTTCTTTCAAAAAAGAGGTAGAACGGTGGTCTTCTGTTGCTTGGCCTATTCTCCTTCCGAGTTCATGAACGAACAGAGACTCCGGGCCATAAACACCAAAAGTTTCAACCGCTACTGGATGGAACAGATAGTTGTTACCAAGATTATGGTATTTTTTCTTTTCAATTTCTCGCCAGACAATGCTGCAGTTTCAGCAGACTTCGAACTTCCAGCTAGATGGGAAGCCGCGACCGTGTCAACGCAAGTGAAGTCCTATACCACAGGTTTACCGTATTTCCATGGTATGAGAGATATACCATCTGGTCGTTTACCATCATCTCGACTGGTATCTAAGGGTTCCAGAATTGCAGGAACATCCGCTGACAAAATAGCAAGTTTCAATATGTCGTTCACTTGGTCGAGATGTACGCCCTGCACTTCTCCTGCAACTCAAACCATGTGTACCTTTCTCATCAACTATACTACCGCAAACACAAGAATGAGAAACACAAATAAATGAACCCATCCTAAGTCCTACTGCTATTCTGAAAGATTCATCGTCTAATAGTGTTCCAAGAGATGCAACAGGTGAAGCATTGAGCCAAGCACCTGCTTCCTTGATCATTGCTGCTTTCAGACGAGCCTTATTGTATACACTTGTAGACTTCAGAATTTTATCAGTTATAATGTTTAAAAGAGGTCGGTCCCATGCACTTTGTATTTTCTTCTTATCTGTAGGAGGAGCAATATTAGTTGCGGCATGCCAAAGTGATTCACCTTCAGCATAAAAAATGTCTTTGATATTGATAAATATGGAAGGAAGGATAGAATCGATAACATCAGAAACATTATTGACTGATGACAGAAAAGTTGGTAAAGCTACGGAAGAAGCCGAACGTAGTCCTAGTCCGCCAAGGTTCACAGGAAGCGTTGCGTTGCTTGGAGCCATGAATCATTATTGAAATGATTGTTTGTAACATATCCCGTCGTGTTGCGGAGTAAATTATCAAATTCGTCAAGCTCTAACTGATTTGACCAAGTGGGGGAACATCTGAGGGCGTACATGAGTATTGGAATCGCCAAACAATTTTTCAAAAGAAATCCGAAGAGCACACAGTGAAGCGCCAAAAAGTAAAAGTATAGGATACATTTCTGGAGAAACCCTACCAGTAAAAATGAAGTTACATAATTTTGTAACAGAAGAAAGAAGTTTCTGTCCTGAATTTCCAGAGCTGTGACTAATGTAGTCACAGTTGCATATGTCTGGGGCGGAAATAATCTAAACCACCAGCAGAACCAGAACAAAAAGATTTGATTGCCTCCGATACTTCATGTTCTGAAAATTGGAACACCGGAAACTCTGAAAAATCGTGTGGTAGTTGCGAATCCAGAGAATGTATGAAGGAATCTGATCGAGGGTGTTTTGATAGTAGAACTGAAAGTGTGGATTCATCGTATTCGGCCAACGTATCACTTGAGCTCAAGATTCTGATAGCTGACCTAATGTCACCATCATCTATTTTACTCAAAACAGGCTTAGAAAAGTTTTGGTTATATTTCCTTTCATCGATCTGGGATGGAATGACATTGGCCTTGGAATTAGGAAGTTCGATGTTTTTCTTCATAAGAGATGCGAGAGAAGATCTACGGGAGTCCTTGGCATGTGGGATGGAGTATAAGGGATAGTTAACAAGTTTTCCCAGCTTGTTGGAGAGTTTGTATGTAAACATTCTTCTATAATTTTTCTATAATTTCGCAAAGGGTAGAGGCAGAGCAATTTCTTGCAGATTTGGGAATCCTTTTTATAAATTAATTCTTCGATGTATATCGATAAAACTTCTGAGCATCGAATAATGTTTCCAAAGTGTAGACGATTTATATTCTGTTAGTAATTCTGAAAATGTTTTTTTTATTTTCCATTACAACCAAGATTCATACTTCGCCATATACATTTGTTTTGATTCATCTGGCAATAAATTCAATATTCGATTCAAGTACTGGAATGAGTTACTCAATCGTGGGGATTATATCAAATGAGCGATGACTAGTAAGTATTGCCATCTGATGAAATTCGGGAAGATAATAATGTGCTCATTTCCATAATTATTCATCTTTTCATACTCAGTTACATCTATCACATTTGAAGAGTCATTCTTGACCTTATTTTGCATTCCCTCAACACCTGAATTTAGTAAACTTAGCGATTTTTTTATTAGATTTCTAACGAATTACTACCAAAAAATTGATAATTCTCTTTACTTTTGATGGGAATAAATGAAAGTTTATTAATTTTATCACGAACATTTTTTTTCTGAAATTCTCACATTTTTTTAATTGCCTACGTTATTCAGGTATGTTATTCAGGTTTTATTGTACATTTGAATAATTGCTTTTCATTAGTTCGGATTTCCATTGTCTAATATGATATAAATTGATTCGAAATACCTGAAAGAATCTGTAAAAAATTTAAAAAAGAGATTAGATGAAAAATAACAATTATATTAAGTGAAAAAATTTAAATTACATTGAAATAAAATACAAGCAACAACCAAAAAATCAAAAATTAAATTAAACTATTAACACGAGATGAAAATTAAAAATTATTAACAAGAAATGAAAATTAAAAAGTTTCCAAACCAAGTTAATTCACGACGTTTCGATTGTTAGTATCCACAATCGTCTTCGGGTGATAACTGGATACTAACAATCGAAACGTCGTGAATTAACTTGGTTTGGAATCTTTTTAATTTTCATTTCTTGTTAATAATTTTTAATTTCCATCTCGTGTTAACAGTTTAATTTTCTTTTTGATTTTTTGGTTGTTGCTTGTATTTTCTTTCATTGTAATTTCAGTTTTTTTGCTTAATATACTTGTTATTTTTTCAGCTAATCTCTTTTTTAATTTTTTACAGATTCTTTCACAGGTATTCCTAATTAATTTATATCATTTTAGACAATATAAGTCCGAACTAATGAAATGCACCAAGAAACATTGTCAACTACCTTCATACAAACGTTGAATAATTGCTGAGAGGATTCGGGTGATACCGAACAGATATTGAAAAAAATTAAGAAAAATGGTAACTCAAATTAATAACCATGTCCTCATCTATGTGAAATAACATTCAAATTAATTTCTTTTTAGACAAAGTAAGATCTGCAACAACAGTTATGATATGTTTTTGACATGTTGTTAGGCTTGCTATGAATAATCTATTTAGCTTATGTAATTTTGAGGAACTCTTGAAAGGTAAGATTTAGATTGAATCAAATGATAGATGAGCATGAGAAACAGTAAGCATAATTTTTTAGTTTTACATTCGTACATATTTATTGGAGTATTCATAATAGTGTCAAATTATATATCATTCGGGTGGTCCCTGCGATTGAGCAGTAACCATATCAAGTTGATTTATATTTATTAGGATTTCAATCTTTAGAAAAATATTATACGCTACATGATGAATAATGTGAGACAAGAAATGTAACGTGACGTTTTAATTGATTTATACATATAACACAAACATTTTAGTGATTTTAATGGAAAACACGTATACAGTGATGACTGTCGACTTCAAAATAGTTATAATATTAAAAACATATCTAAAACATATAATAAAAACAAATAGGTATATGAAACTTGTATAAATTGTTCTAAAATTTCATTCATTCAAAATGCAAGTTCTGACTAACGCTTCTGCTACTGCGTACGGATCACAGTTAGATGCTGGTCGTCTGTCTTCCAAGTAACCTTTCTTTTCTTCTGCACACCCTCGAGGAATGCGAACACTAGCCCCGCGATTTGCTACGCCTGAAAAAATAGAAACGAATGAATATGAAAACATTAGGAGTTTTTTTATAGGAGATACTCTTATTGAATGAAATTCAGTTACAATTTTAACCATGATAAATATATTGTGAAGCAGGTGTTTCTCCTCTCGGATTCAAAGAATCTTCTACTGAACTATACCTCCAAGATACACGCCCCTACATCTTACCATGTACATTCATGCCATTTTCTAAATGACATCGTGAAACACTAATTATCGAAAAAATTAATCGTCACTCAACCAGTTGAAATAAGAGGTACCTAATGCATCCAATCACCCATTGCGGACACTGAATAGTGAAATCACCAACATGTCGATTGGAAGGAACAGAGTATGAAAAAAAGAAAGTCAACAATGAATGGTATAGGCGTTGACTGTGAGGATGAAGATTATATCTCGAATTTCAGCAACGCCTGATATCTAGTCTCATGGAAATTCAAACCACGAATATCAAAGACTCGAGGGTGCCCAGGCTTTTGTTTTCAAAGCATTTTTTTGATTTTAGGAATTAAACCTATATATGTCGAGGAAGAAGGAGAACAACCAAAAGCGATGCAGATTGGCTCTACCAGTTTCAATAGAAAAAAGCTGTTAACCCAAAGCTTGAGAATAATTGAATTGTCTGCCAAATGGACACAAAAAGAAGTACATCCTTTTCAGTATATTAAAAACAACACAAAATAATATTTCAACTCACCTGCACTGAAGTCATGGATCGAAGAAGTCTCATGCCTTCCTGTGAGACGACGTTCGTTATCTTTTCCCCCATTGGGATCGTAGGCCTGGATGTGCCTAAGGTGATTCCTGCTCAATTTGTCAATAGCTTTCTCAATTTCTCTGTAAAAAATACATTCAAGATGAAAATACATATATAACTTAATTATACAAATATTTTATTTCTTCATGAAATATTCCTGTTCGTAATAGAGTTCTGCCAAATGAATTATGGTACACGATGACTCTTTTGAACAAGAAATGTGCAGGAGAGCATAAAAACTGACCATTTCCTTATGAATAAAATTATTAGTATAGAATGAAATATCATGACATCTTTTTCAAGTAGATGTCATACGAAAAGAGGAGTTGAAGAAGGAACGATCGATATAATGACTATGAATGCCCCATACTTTCAGCAGACCAAATGCTCTACCATTTTCAGGAAGGTAGGAAATATTCAGTTCGTTGCTTGATACGAAGTGACAACTGACAAATTTGGTAATCGGAACTTTCGGGGAAGAACATATGATTACCGTCCGAGATTACTCTACCCTTTTGGGAGCTGTATACAACACGACGTGAATACGAAAAAAAATTATTCATCCCCTCAGGACGAGAAGTGTCCGTTCCAAGAGTATTCTTCATCTGACAACAGGACTTTTGAGTATATACATGACAGACTCGTACTGGACGGAGCCTCCAAAGTAATCTTACTGGAAACTCTGGCGTAAAATGGTTCTATTGAAAACTCTTCCCCAACAGCAGAACAAAAATTACGGTCTCTCGACTAGTGCCTCGCCAACCAAGTTAGAGTCCTCAGGAGATCATTATGACTGTTCTGGTGTTGGAAAAGTGTTTTCAATAGAGGAGATGTAATACCTAAATCAGCATGATGATGAGAGAACAAGTATTGGGGTATTCATTTTCAAGGCAGCTACCCGAGCAGCCAACGAACTTAAGTTTTCAACACTAACGAGGTGATCACAATCCGGTCACCAAGTTGGAACTCGTTCAGCAAAAGACCGACATACAAGCAGGAACAACATTGAAGATGTCGGCTTATCAAATCATTTGACCTTTGAATTTTAAGGATCGAGTGGGATGGAGTCTAAAACTGAAGGGTTCATCATGGTCTTCCAGGATATATTCAATAGGCTGAAACAGCTGTCTACCGGTAGCTCTTGAATTGAAATCAATATGGGAATAGTGCTTATATATAT